TGAATACATTTGAAGAAAATATCTTCTCAAACATAATCACGCCTGAGATACGTAGATGACACTTTCTATGTGCTAAAACGAGATATACACAGTTCATGCTTCAATAAACTGAACAGTCTTTCTCCCAGTATCTGGTTTACTTCGGAAGCAGAATCAGACGTCGGTGGGCTATCTATTATGCTCTGCCTAGTTAGATATTTTAACGTTTTCATATTCAGAAAGAAAATACTCTCTGACACATATTGAGACCTCGGACCATCACACCCCATCACTATAGAGACATCACTTGTGTGAAGTCTTCTTGCACGGAAAAACTCCTAGGTAACGGATGATTACGAAAATGAAGAAGAAATATGAAATATCATTGAAACTCTCAAGAAAAATAACATATAACACATAACACATAGAGCTTCACTACTAAAACCAACACGAACGTTAACTATGGTGGAAAAGGTATTCCGAAGACATGGACCTCAACTGCTGACATTCCGTATAGATCGGAAACATAAGTTGGTATTAGAATAATAACTACCATGCACAACATCACAGTTTTCTTCAAAACACCGGGCACACTACAAAGCAACCTTGTGCAAGTCAAAGACCGAATTTCAAAGGATTCTCGATCGAACTGTATCTGTAAAATAAAGTTCTTGGAATTTGTGATGCGAGAAATCAACGGCTCAAATCCATTACATTGTAGTTCGATCACATTAATTCGGAATTTAGTCAAACGAAACGATTCAGATATGAACAGCATTTAAATTTGCGAAGATCTGTTATTCAGATCCACTCATCATCGCTTCATAATAATTTATAATAATAATTTTATATTTTCATATAAACATAAATTTACATGAAAATGCATGCCATTTTTACAGGCACGATCAAGTATGATACAATGTCAAATAGTAGATTGTCTATAAGTTAGTAATGTTTAAACAGCTAAATATTTGATATATGTATAAATACACTCTTTGTCTGACCCATGTCGTATCATTATTGAATTAAACAACAGTCCTCCAGGTTGCGCGGGGAAATCGACTTCATTTCGTTTTCAACCCGTAGTTGTAGGCATACGATAACCAACCAATATTGAGGTAAGTACAACGTTTACAAGGGATAGTAAGCTGTTTTAGAAAAGTAAAGATGGTAAGGTGAATCCTTAAAGTGTAATGAAATAGGTAAATGCAATGTATCATTAATATATGCATTCATAAAGGAAATACAATGGGAGACTATAATCCCTAGGCTGACAAAGTTCCTTTGCGATGTATAATGCTACCCTATAGGTTTTACTATCATGTTGTCAACTTTTGGTTTAATACAATTATCCACAAGCTGGTTGTTTTAATTTCATACCTTTTTGTGTTTGGTGCACAACCGTACCCTATAGAGAATAGGAATAAAATAAGTTGAATCAAATTCATAAAGAGCTATAAAATGTTAGGTTTAGTGGAATATAATGAGCAAGTGAAGACGTTATTAGAAAATGTATGAGATGAGACATTGTTAAGTGATATTCGAAGATACGACAAAGGAAAGCATGTCAATTTATAAGATGCCCTATAAATCTGTGCAGAGCCCACGTGGTCGCATCTCAGCAATAGGCTGACCGAATGGTATATGTTTAAAGGTAGAAGCATGATCTGTCCAGGCGATCATTATTATCTTATTCAAGATAAAGATTCAAGCCCTCATAGAAATCTCGAGCCATCAAATTGCATATTGCTGTTCCTGCACCACCATATCTACTGATCAGCATGCGCCACCCTCCCTACATTTAACTAGCTAGGGCTTTGAGTTGGAATATTTAACACTATTAAATATATTATATATATCATATTGCGCAGGGTATTAAAGGTTGCCAATTTGACTGATTACTACTCTAGTCGATGGGCACCTGAACTCATGTGTGAAGTGATCTGGATCAGTATTGTCTGACCTTCAACACCCTTTCTGTTCTCCACCCTCTCCATCGTGCAACTAATCAGGTAGGACAAAAAATCATTGTAAAAAAGGCTAAATGCTTGTTAAACTAAGTGCAGAAAGTCAACGATACCCTATTTGGCTCACTGATGTGTTAAGCACGAAATCTACGACTCACTTTATTGTAAGCAAAATAACTGGCTGTTTATTCTTTCCTTCTTATCAACAAAGGTGAAACTATTTCATTTTAACTGTAATCAATTGATACTTTTATTATTATTATTATTATAGCTTCGATGTTATTTAAACATTAGTGTTGTTCTCTCATTCCCTCACTATTATGTACATTACAGAGAACTGTAGAATCTGATGATGAAATTATCAAACAGCATATTCTTTGTTTAGTAACCATCCTTTGGAGTATTTGTATTTCAATTCTAATTTTAACTATCCATATTCCAATCTTTGATTTTACACTATTTTTACCTTACTGTCAGTACAGATTGCAAGCAACTGCCACTATCAACGCTTTAATAGTATTTGTTAGCTTTGTTTTTGTGCTGTTGTTGAGCAAAATTAGATGTAACATTTTACTGAATGCTAAGAATTCTACACTGTTTTTGAACAAAGCAAATTAATAATAATATTAATAATAATAATTTTATTATTATTGTTATGCCATAACACCAATCATTCAATACATTTTTGCTTTATCTTTTAACAAGTATTATGTTAACAAAAGTTCATTACGTCGTATTATACAAATATATATATATATATATACATAAATATTTTGCTAATAATAGAATATATTTCTACTTTCTGATGAAGGTTATATCTACTTGTGTGTCACTCTGTTGTTTCCAAAGTCTTAAGTTTTATTGAAGTGAAAAACTGCACTTTAGAAAGAGGGGAATATAAAGACATCTAGTTTTTTTTTTATTACAGCTTGATTCCACACCGTATTTCTTTGCTACAGGTATGGAATTTTCAGTATGTGATATCGGTAGCCCAAAGTTTGCAGGTCGACCATAGGTATCAGAGAAATTATTGAAAACAGTATTCTTTGTTCAGATTGACTTATCGCTTCAGCACAAAGAACAAGATTCTAATCTCCAACCAAAATATCAAGTTGCTTCTTCTATATGGGTCGAGAACATGGCAAGCGCGTCACGAAAAGCATTTCCAACCGACTACTGCAGACTTTATTCAATAGCTGCCCCTTTTTCTGACGCTATTTCAAAGATCAAATGACCTACCAGATAGAATTAGCTGTAAGAAACTAATCGAAAACCAATCGCTCAACTAATATTCTTAGGAGAATATGGAGATGAGTTTGGCACACGCTGAGGAGACCATCGAATGGCATCCTGCGCTTGGTCTTCGTTCTAATGGAACCAGAAAGGGGAACGACGAGTTTGGAGTAGTTCAGATGCTGAATTAGAGAAGATCGTGTGAGGAGGAGGAGGAATCATAGGGCCATCTAAAGACGACTGCAGAAAATAGAACAAAGTGTAGATGTGCTGATTAAGCCCTGTGTTCCACTCGGAGCCTAAAGAAACAATAATAATATGATAATAATTAGACATCCCCACAAACTGATTTGAATATTTGCTCAGCAAATATTGACTACTGCTTCACTAAACGTCAGCTTTAGATTGTTTTGATAAACTATGTGTATATGGTCAAGCATCATTCTGTCTTATGTTTGAGTGTTCATGAGTTCAATTTCGCTAATAATACAAATCCTCATGTCCTAACTTATGCGTCTTTTGATATAGTCTTGTAGTCTTCTAATCTGCAGTCTTTCATATGCAAGGATTCACTGTTGATGATAAGTGCAAACCTTTGGATGATTTCCATTATTACCAAGGGTATCAAGTGTTGGTCGAAAATTAAGAAGCTGGATCTCAGTATATCAACAAGAAGAGGAGAAGTTTTCATGTCATTATTAATACTTAACAAAATGGAAATAATGTAAACATTCTATCCAAATACTGAGAGGACAAAAAATGAACGACATCATTCTGTACAGAGCAGACAGAAACCAGTTGAACATATTTTAAAACGGTATGCTATCAAATAGTCAAATCGAGATAAGTTGGAGAAATAATGAGATCGCCACCAAATGTCCTCTGTCATCAACTATCAACGAGCTCCAACTCCACATGTGATTTATTGATGGATTTCGGATCTCTGAAACCCAATTCAAACCTTCAGTAATACCCACACAAACACAGACTTAACTCTTAAAGTTGGATCTGACTCAATTTTCCAATTCCTCGATGTCCAACTGCGAAGAAATTCTGGAAAAAGCTGAGAAGACCCATATACCAAAGGCAATTTGGAACACAGTTTATCAGAGTTCAGAGTTGTGCTCCACTAACCTGAAGGCCAAACCTCATTTACTTTCTTTCCTTAGGGAACCAGAAGGTATTCACAGAGGAGTCGACCGACGAAGAATCGCAAAACCCCTAATCAAACATCTTAATAGAATTGATATCAAGGCTTCTGATCACATTCAGGTCCACGCTGTGTGCTCAAAAGAAACCATTGCCTCTCCAAAAGTGATCATCCTACTTCGGTTCTTATCCGTTTTTCCTGTTTGTTTCTGTTGTTTTAGTGTTTTGTACTTCCTATCTACAATGCTGTGTTTTTTCATCCGAACTTCCTGCCTGTTTTGTTATCACTGCACGTGTAATCCCTTATTGCACGAAAAGGTTTATCTTCTTACTAATTATGGTCCTACTGCATTTTTCATCCGATCTTCATGTTTATTATACTTTGTATTCTTATTAATTTGAACCCTGACAGAACGGAAATAGTTGTGGAACTTTCTCACTCATTCCTTATAAATACACTATTGAACAGCTACCTAGTTGATGACTTCGTCGAAAATAAAATTTTCTTCGCTTTAATCTCCATTTTAATATTTGCTGAATGAAGAACTGAACCATAATGAATACAGAGTAACTAACTTCCTTTTCCGCACAAATAATTTTGATCAATAATTCAAATAGTACAATGAAGGTAAATGAATTCTCGGCATCACGATTGTATTCATAAATCATTTCATGCATGCCAAAGAGGCTTTATGTGATTCTCGTATTAGAATGCTTCTATTCACACAATTCAGTGCGTAGTCGTGCCCTCGGATAAATGTCTTTTCTTCAAGACTAAGTAAATTTGTTCACAGACACAGTAAAAGGGATAACTGGAGCTTTAACGACTGCTGCAGTTTTCAGCTACTGATGCTCAGAAATGTGAATTGAGAAGTATAGCATAGCAGTCTCATGGTTTTTATTCAAATATTCTCTTTCTACAAAATAGACCATTCTGAATCCTCACGTGATACATGATGATAGTTCAAATAATTAGCATTACTGTGGCACTTGCCTAGCTTAGTCGAAGTTGTATTTAACCATTGTGGATTATGCATTCTGCACTATCATTTCTGGAGGTATTGTATGGAAGATTCAAACATACTGAATACTATGGACATTTCATTCACTACAAAAACCGTTGTTTAAAGCGAAGTTCTAGTACAATGAGCAGTATTATTTTAGCTTTTCTACAGCTGGTCTCAATTAACATTTGGTCTTTTACACTATGAACCTAGTGGCTTTCAATCTTATACAGTACTGACATCATATACGTCACCTTCGAGTCACAGACTTAACAGGCGCTCTACAAAATATCATTTCTAACAGGCAATTGCAGGATTTCATCAGTGGTAATCTTTACTCAGCACTGGAGATTGAACAGCTGCTCAGGAATGAAAAGCGTTCAGTAACTAAGGCAGACAATCAGTCAAAATCACATTATTGAACAAATTTGCAGAAGAAAATATCGACGGATCGATTGGACATGTGCTGATTAGATCTCTGATTGTTATATTAACTCATGAAAGGTTTCATTTGGAACTCCAAGAGTATTATGGAGGAAATAGTATGAAAAGCGAATGGAAAAGTCTAGGGGTACTGAAGTTATTTAAAATGACGATGGAGAGACAGTTGAATAGTGGATATACTGTTAAAGATCTGTGTTTCACTTGCAACTCAAGAGAATGAGAATAAGCATTACAATGTCCAAATGGTGCTCAAACATCCTGATACTACTCCTCTTGAGAGATTAGGTGATGTGTTGTGTGAAATATTAGAGGATTCTTAGAAAACAACCTGAAGGTCTTGAGTTCATGCGTTTTTTTATGATAGAACTACAGACGTATTTTCGTTATCATCCCCTTCCCAGATTGGATGGTATCCCGCAGCTTAATTTATTAGGGAACCATGCTATTGTTTATGTACACTGCTCCATAGAAACAAGGGAACATGTGTATACGTACTGATGTGGCACAGCTTCACTGATTCTAAGAGAATGTTATTCGTAGGCTGTTCATAGAGTCATGTTTTCAAGCCTTGTAGTAAAAAAGTCAGCCAATAGAGTGGAATTCATTGCTTCACCACCTATGCACCTGTAGATTTCATTGTTCCGTCTGATGTTACATCAGAGTAGAAGTAACTTACGGTATGCAAACATCAGTGATATGATGATCATAATATATTCACATGAAAACTGACTGCTCCTTTTCACCAAACGATGTCTAACAGACCCTACATTCTCATCTACCATCCTGATATGTGTGTGTGAAAATAACCATTGGAATAAACATAATCACATTGAATTCATCTATTTCACAATGTATAAAATTTTCACAGATATTCTAGAAGAAGAAACGTAAATGTAGGTAGAATTCTAGAAACATTCTTCAGTTTCACATATCATCGCATAACAGTGTTTCACTTGAGTGTGAGAATAAAAACAATCGTAAGATTATTCACTTTCTAAGTCACACTTTTATCATTAAAAAATATTTATCTAATTGGTGGCACAATGTGATATAAGCATTCAGCCAATTAACTAACTACTTGTAAATTCATTTTTAAACGATATAACAGCTTCAAGTATAAAAACGCCTGAACTCAGATCATTCTAATTTCATACAGCATTATGAAGGTCTACTGCTTACTAGGTTTCTTACTGTCCGTGTTGGTTCATGTCGCAGGTAGATAACAAATTCAATTTTAGTCACACTATTTATGTGTTTGTAAATGCCATTTCATTTCGATGATAAAGTCACATTATTCAGCAAAGATATTAGAATGATTTTGTAAACAGCTGAATTCACATAATACGCCGTCGTTCATGTCACAGTGGTCAGAAATGCTATAGAGTGAAATACAATCATTAATTCTGATATGGAAGATTTGAAGATTTCATCTCTCAGCGGAATGACATCGTTGTCACTTAGTTTATTGTTTCATTCCTTCAAACATTGACACGTGTTTGGAAAACGTGGGGCGAATTCTTACTTGATACACAATCGTACTCATGACCACTGAGTAATTTTTACGGTCCAGTTCTCTGTTGTAAGTACAGATCACTATGTCATCTGTTCAAGAGACAATTATTATGATGTCATCTCACGGTCTTTACTCTCTACTTCAGAGTGATAGTTGTATTTTATTTGAAATCTTTTAGTTTTTCATGTCTATTCTAAGTTGGACAACTTTCTATCAGGAGTCAGTAAATGGTCTTTCTTCAATAGTCTCAAACTAAATCCTTTGAAAAATCAGACTGATCACTTTAGTTTTTAATGTAAAAGAAAGTTAAATGATGCTGTTAATTCCCATCACCATTGTAAAATTAACGATACTGAGATAGAAATTAAGTTGGAATTGTAAGTATCCTGGACTGATTCTTTCTCCTGAGCCATCCTGGTCTTCCCATGTCTACAGAATATTAGATTCAACATTCTTAAACATGCTAAGATTTCCATACTGTATCAACAATACTGTTTGAAACAAACCTACCCCTGTTATTACTATTATTATTGATATTTTTATTCTAGTGTTACACTTGCACATTTTTGACATTACTCCTACTGTTAATTTGAAAACTTTTGTAAGGTTAATTTTATTTATTCTCAAGTTTTTCAACGGTTCTCTAACTGATGATAGCTAGTGATGAAATCCTTCAACTAATTTTATTGATCTTTTGAGTGAATTAGATGCAATAATGTGAAAATGCTCAAAATTCCATAATGCACTATAATTACCGTTTGTGGAATGAAGGATATCAGGTGAAGGATAAACTACTGAGTCTGGCAACCGGGTAACACTTCACTGTGTATTCATAAACTTGAATATTCATGTTGAGATGGTTACATAGGTAGAACAGCTCGGCAAGCTCGCCATCGATTTCTGGAGCATCGTCCAACATGGTAAGAGAAATGAGTCGTAAAGTCAATCAGAATTTCCGCACTGGCACACCTAGTGGATACAAGGCACAAGGTTGACAAAAATTCAGTTTTTATAATTATAAACAGAACGCCACTTCAACTCCCTAGTTTTCTACATCTTCAGTTGCTGAGCATAGCTGGAGCACTTACTACAAAGATTTTTCAACTCAGTCTCTGTGTTCAGAAAATGTTTGTTCAATCCCGTTGCCTCTTTTGGTCCTCACCTCCAACCTAAAATAGTTATCTCTCCCGGTGACACCGGATAATTGTAAATATCATCTTATTATGTTTTTATCTAATTTCAGTTGTAATACTAACTGTATTATCAATATCATGTTGTGCTGTTCTTCTACATTTCCGTCTCTGTTTCACAATTTATCATTATTTTTATTATATTATCTAATTTCTATGTGACAATAGTTTATTTCGCCTCTACCCCACTAGTGTACATACTCTACCTGTACACTCACCGTTGCCTAGATCATGTCAACACTTGAATAAATTTATCCTTGCTGCTATTGTCAAAATGATCACCTCGACTGACATCCATTAATTCACATCACTGAACTCTGATCCAATGATTTATTGGGCACAATAATTCAAATGCCTATAACTGCTATTTCATTATGTCGGTGTGAAGCCTGATGAGAATTTACCGGAAATACGAATTTGCTTAAATTGTGTTCCATGAATTCTACCATTATTATTATTATTATGATAATGGCTGTTGTCTGTTCTGAATAAAACTTTGATGAGAATAGAGATCGACGCATTCGATTCACTAGCATTTTAAACGCCCGTCTCAATCTATCATGGAGGGAAATGAATTTTTTAACAGCTGACACCTTAGACATGTAGAGATTTGATTGGCGGAAATATTACTCATATCTGAAAATAAAATTAACAAGAGAGATATTTCATGGTAGAGTGCCGCCTTGAATGCTTATTGAGATTATCTAGATATCCATAACTCTTCACAAAAGTAGATAATTTCAATACGTGTGTATTTCCATGATTCCCTAATCCCATTCTCGCATTATACGAATAATATTAATAATAATGATAATAATGATAATGTGAATTTCATCCAATCACGCTGTACTCTTCTTCATATTTTCGTGAATTGATTCTATTCCCACCTTCATTTCATCAGACTTCAGTGGTAAAGTCCTAACGGACAACCAGAATTCAAGTAAGTTTATTCATTTGATCTAGTATAATTGTGTGATTTCATGTTGTGAAATTTCGATTAACGAGTATGATATAATGCTTATGTATGCGGTGAAAGTCATGCAGTGCTTTTGAGCACTACTCTGCGGTTTGATCAGCCCTTCAATTTCCACAGTGAACTGGATGTTGCACAGGTGAAAGTTATAGGCCAACAAATGAAAGTATAAGAAACACTAACATACATACGAAGGCAATTTGCACATTCTATCTGCAAGTATTTCTGTGTGAATAGAAGTCGATTACTAATGCAATTCACTTCACTTTCTCGCTCTTACGAGATGTTCACTTACCAGGATGAAATCACTCACTTGTTATTTTAGCTACAATTTATTTTGCTCTCTCTGGAATATCTCCGGTGTGATTATTTTTCCAGTTAATTTGACGTCCATCACTGGCGTCTTCAGTTTGGATTCTATTTTCACTCTCCATCCACCTTAATTTTGTTTAGCAACAGCCTCGCCAGTTTTGAAAAATACTCCTCACGGTTAGTAAAGATTGTCTGTCAATATACTTTTCACGTTCACTTAGTATATTTGAAAAACTGTAAGCCTTGTCGTAGAGAGTGTGTAATAATTGTTCACATACGTGCATGTATAATCAAGTTTTGCATATTTCACAGTCCATTCCACAAAAGCGACACAACAGCCATTGGTGACTGGTAAGTCTAACTACAGTGTTTGTCGCCTAGCCAGAAAGCTATCTTTTCATTTCTTCAAATGCAGGTATGAAAATGGAGATGTCTTACCCCTCACAACTAAGGAATTAACATGTCGGTATCCTGATATTTCATTTTCAGGTGTTAAAACCTAACTCCCTCAAAAGTGAACTGTGGAAATAGCGGCTGTTTGACTGCTGACGATGTTCATACATACACTAGACATGCTATAGAATCTTAAATAAGTGACCTCTCAATATATAACGACACTGATGATTTTAGAATTCGATTCGCTTTTCGATGTTTGCATTATCATAGTCAGTAGTGATGATACATATTGTAAAATTTGATCTACTTCAGAAGCAGATGATTCGACAGATGGCCACCCAGCCATCCAGAATGTTTGAAACGCAATCGAATCGTATGAGATACTCCAGGATCGATGTGTCAGATGCTGAAGGATATTCTAATCCGATAAATAAGTGAAAACATGAAGTCGCATAACACATCCATCCACTTCGAGATACTTTTCAGATAGAAGGATTAGAGATCTGATTCTAACGCCTTTGTATCAAGTAACATTACTCCTCGGGATATTGCCCTTTTGATATGCTGATATAGGGAGTAGGTCTTATCATAAATAAACTAGACGTCAATAGAGATAAGCACCTCCGTCATACCACTGTACTTGTTTAAGTGTATCCTAATTGGGGACAAAGATAAACACGGTTGGAATGCGAGTGGTATAAAAAAGAATAAACTAGTAGATATCTCTGAGTGCATACATGACATTTATCTGAAGGTTATTCGCATAATGAAGCTTATGTTGTTAATTGTGCAAGTACGTGTTTCTTTTACCCCTGATTGCCTTAAATGTCTTGCTTGTCTACAGCCAATCAGATGAAAATTAGTCATGGTTCCGAAGGTAAGTGAATACACTGCCTCAAATATTGTTAACTTGTATGCAAGGATAAACAATTGCCTGATGGAAACTGTTATGAAAAATATTTTACGAATTTGATAACGTAGATTACGTGTGAGGAATTCTGAAGTTTATTATGGCATAAGGAAGTCTTCACCAACTCTTATTTATATTTTTCAACTTCTCTCCTATCATCCCTTAATCGCACCATATCTTCATTCAAACATATTTTATTCACTTCGCTTACAATCTAGCACTACTCAATCCGTTTATTTGTTTTTCCCAGCCTTTAACAACTATTATGTCTACCTGAACATTTGTTTGTTTAATCATGTTGTTTTCCGGTATTCTTGTCATCACAAATCGCCTCAATTTCTCACCCTTGTTATTGATAGAATCAGTATTGTTATTATTGTCATTATTTTGACTAATTGTAGACTGTTTATGCACAATATTATTATACTACTGACGAAACACTGTAGCTGGTTTATACTCGAATATTAACCTGTAAACCATATCCTGACATATGATTGACACAGTGAAAACCAATCTGTCAAAATCCATTTCAATGATCCACAATACTGGTTTCATGGAATGTGAATCACTTTCTACAGTAGTGTGAACATTTGTATGAACAAATATTTATTGCGTCTATGTTATACGATTGCTGCTATCAGATGAGTGTGATGACACAGTCACTCAGTTCTACAATATAACGTCACATATTGATATTTTAGCTTTCTGAGTTTCCCTTATATCCTTCCTCTTATTATTTCACTCTTAGAAATTAAAGATTATATTCAAAAATCAAAAGAAGGTAAATTATCAAGCCAAAATACTAATATTCTATTTCCTGATAATAATGAAACCCAGTTATTAGCCTTTCATACATCCAATGGTGCTTTTTTATGGTTAAATTAAGTCTACGTAATGACTGTCTCCACTATTGCAGAAGGTGAATAACCTCAAGTGTTTCATTGTGAATGGCGTCCCCAACTCAGTAGGACTAATGTTTTCTGAAATATCTGAGACGAAATAAATTTAAATTAATAAGTCAATCAATAATAGGACAGTTATCAACTGCTTATCATGGTATATTGCTACGGTGAGCGATTTCGGTTTGCCTAATGTCATCCGGATGCAGATTTTGTTTGCTGAGGAGTATAACTCTTCCGTTGTGAGGCATTTGAGAGAAACTTGTTGAAAATATCTGCTAGGTGAAAAGCTCAGTGTGTTGCACAAACATAGACTTCAATTTTTTTCTACTTACGATAATTTCGAATATGTATGAGTTAATCCTGTTCACGTCTTTCAAGGCTGAATTCTGAACACTTTCACCAATTTTCTTGGCTGTTTTATCTTCTGTCCTCTTTTGTTTCGTTCTGAATTAGATTAGATTATCTGCAAAATATTATCAAGCTTCATTGACTGGGTACTTGTCATATGTCAAATCTTAGAGACATTCAACTTGCCTGTTATCACCCTGCCATGAACAACTTGTTCTTGTTCAACTTGCTTAACAAAGCTGAGAAGAGTTGAGTCGAGAATTCACAAAAACTATCTCAGTTGACACAAAAAAGATGGAGTTTTGTTAACAATGGTGAAGTACGCAAAATAACTACAGAAACTGATTAGCCGAAATAGATGCCGTTCGAAAATACATGCAAAGTCATAATAAATAATTGACTATGGAATATAAGACAAAAGATACGCCAGCTTGTAAACAGATTGGCTAGGTGAGAGACGATGAACGTCTCGTCACCTGAAAAATGAACGGTCGCACAGTAGTCTCTCAAATGTTTCCATAATAACATCATGCAACTTCTCATCCATGCCGATAGAAAGCACAATTCAATGATTTTCTTTCATTTTACGAATTATACTGCAGTAATTTTGTTTGCGTGGATGTTGTTTTCACAATGGATGTGTTTCTCATATTCATCGTACAGAGTTTTATAAACAAGATTTTGACAGTTCATGCAGTGATTTGTTCATCAGTTTCTCCATAGGATAGAGGAAATTACTTCAGGAAATTCGTAACATCTTCGGTCTGGAAACTTATAATATACATGAAATCTGTTTATATCACATGAGTATACCAAACAATGATTTAGGGATTGATAGTATAAATATATATATATCGCCATAAACTAATCAGTTTTCAAGAACTATTCGAAAGGAACGTTTATTCCATTTTTGAAAGCACTCATAAATGGTTATTTCCAGGAAAGCAATAAACATGCGAATAATTAACCTGCTGAAACGTCTATAGACTTTTCTGGATGTATATTTGTTCTCGTTTCTCTTCAAGCACGCATTACACTAAATTAATATTCATTCAAATTCTATTCAACGTTGGTTTGTATATGTTTATATTTAATCTCAGAGAAGGTAAAAACCGCGATGAGATTCGGTAAGCTCATAACATATTTAAGCATCTTACTGATCATTAAATATTGTTGATTGCTATTCATTCACGATGGAAGAGTGCAGACGTTTATGACTCGCAGTGAATAGAAACAACAACATTAGGCGAAGAACTTTCAAAGTCATTTCCCCTATGTTCACTGCCTTCTCTGCTTCCTACAAGAGTGTGGTGAGTCTCACACAGACAACAAAGGAATTTGTGCGATATTGGACAGTAGTCGTCCTTGAAGTCAACATTTTGCAGACCTCTCTTCCCGCTGCCTACAATTCGGTGAGATACGGTTGTTGGTCAGTTCAGATGTCCTTCAAAATGATCAATTCATTGTTTCATTTTTCAGCAGAAGTGGCGAATTTCTCATAATAATTCAAGTCGCCAGCTCTGCTTACTAAATATACTCGGTTTGTGATGGGTTGAGGCATCCGCCGACCATGATTGAAACCCTCTTCCATCACATCGATGTATCACAATATCCCATAATTAATATTACCTGCTAGTTTATTCTACAATTTTTATTCACAAATTATAATTCCTGCATTTTTAGGTTAATTGAGGAAAAGCCCAGTCAAAATTAACTACAGGTTAGCTATTACATAAACCAGTAGAAAATAAACTCCAAAAGATGATTCCTCTTCTAGATTCAGACATTTGATTTATGATTTTCGCCGAATAGCTTCACACTAAATTGAACTTAGAAAGAATGAAGCTACTACTGATAAGTAGGATGCATTGTGGTGTCGGAGATTATGGAATACCTCAAATCAATATTAGGATAATACAAGGAATGGTTATCATGAGTAGGACAGAGAAATAAATAAAAGATTTTATGCAGCCATAATTGAGTCGAAAATGTAATCAGAGTGGCGATTTATTCACTCATATGATTGAACGCTCCTGCTCAAGAATGAAAGTCCTGCATCAAAATCTGCAGAATGTTTTACTCTGAAAATAAGGGGCACGAGGATAAATGTTATATTCCTTTCCATTTCATGGCAAAGAGATGGTCCGACTAAGATCGAAATTAGTCCGAAACTCCGGATTTACTCATTGTCACTTATATTGTGCTCATTTAGTACAACCAATAACCAATAAGTCAGTATTTTCACGTTGAGACAGTTCAGTAGCATATTGTTCAGATGAGTGAACAACTCTCTGATTATGATGTCCACAGAGCTTAAACATTGTCATTATATATATAGTAATCTTAGCAACCACTGATTGATTGAAGTGTTTTGAATATGAATAATAAACGAAATACGATCTAGAGCAATGAAAAAAGGTACAGATCAACACTTGTATTGTGTTTAGGCGAAATGTTTCACTCTGTGACAACTGTTGATCTCATTCTTTCCCTCGTTTACTTTCAGAGAGGCGATGAACAACTCCCTTATTGTGAAATGAATAATTCTGGGACACTTTAAAAGAAATGAATTCTTTGACACTCATAATTTTTTTATTATTTTAAAACATAACTACCTATTTATTCTACAAACAATTTAAAATAATATTTTTTGACTTTGTTTTCATTCGTTATAAAAAACAGCAATTTCATTCATAGAATAACGCCTTTTTATTTGCGTTTGTTAAAATCATATACATGGATGATCACTGAGTTCTACAGCAGATAGACAAAGAATTTTAATTCTCGCCATCCATAATGTATCATAGGGCGCACGAAAATCATGAAAATGAAATACATTCTTTATACTCCTCAGTAGCGAATTTCTCCTCAAACAAAAATTAGTCGGGTGACGAACCTGTTGGAGATTCATCCGCTGTCTTTCCATTCTTACGTCTGATTATTTGATTTAATAATGATTGAATCTTCCACAGCTATTGGTTCAGGGGAAAGCAGTTGAACGTATCACCTGGTAGTAATCTCTAGTTAATTAACATATTAATGACAGCATTCTCAATTCAGAGGAAGAACATTTTCACACGAGATTACACCAAAAATATTCGGGTTTTATTTTCTATTCTCTCAGCAAAAAAGAATTCAGTTTACGCAATTCAATACAGAAATGATTGTTTAATGAACAGCAAGTAAATGCCACTCAAATGAAGAATCTACTTTTTTCTAGACAAACAAAGCACAATAAATTGACATGCCATTCGAAAAAGGAGGATGCAGATCCGAGTGAGCATTTGGAAAGGAACGCAATAGTTCGTTTTCAGTTTCTTAGAAAATTACTTCAACGACGCTAGGGTATTCGAAGTGGTTATGATAATTCAGAAAGCTTTTTGGAAAAGATTAAGTGATATCTGAACGACAGCACTATCATTAGGTCAGCTAATATCAACAGTCTCTACTACTAGCAGACTAAACATGTTTCTCCTAGGCTTTATCGACTACTTCTACCTGAACACTTGTTTGTTTAATCATGCTGTTTCTCGTTATGTTTGTTATCACAGATCGCCTCATTTTTTCATCCTCATCATTGATAGAACCATTACTATTATTATTATTATTATGACTAACTGCACAATTTATATTTACCATCGTATTATCCTATAGACAAAACACCATGATTGGTTTATTTTTGAATTTTTATTTATAATGTTATGTATACTGGAGTTGAACCAGATGGAATCTCATAGAAAAACATTGTTTGCTTAAATGTGTTGTTCTAAATATGAAAGAGCAGTAATCTGGAATGGGTGCACACAAAACTTGTACAGTAGTACTCTGCACTCATTTCTGCAGAATTAAGAGAGTGGGAAGTCAATACGCCTGCGTGATTTCGACACTTGAAACATGCCGTGAAAATAAAACGTTATATGAATATTTCAGTCCTAGGTCTAGTACAAATTTGAGTCCGGGGATTTTGTGACCTGGAATCACTGGGTCAAGTTCCAGGCTGGAGCAACCTATGCAGAGCCAGCCACACTTTTCGACATTAAATTCAAGTCTCCAGGTGTCACACCATATATCCATTTTTCTTAATTCTTCATGTATGGACTTCATAGTTGTACCGATATCTGTATTTGTGCAGTTATATGTCACCTTAAAGTCATCTGCATACAGTATTGGTTTGCCTATGATGAAGAATTCACATGTACTGTTTTTGTGTATATTATGGAAATGGAAATGCACTCCTCTGCATTACAACACTGCTCATCGGCCTAGGCCTGGAGGTCATCAAGAAAACTTTTGTTGTCTGATTTCTATCACTAGGAAATGATTTTATCCAGTTGAAAAGGGGCCTGCATACCCCTAGTGAGCACAACTTGCTGACTAGCAGACTATGGGGAACTCTGCCGAAGGCTTTCCTTATATCGAAAAAGAGGGTAATTACTAGTTCTCTCAGATCACTTCTGTAGGCATTTTTATCGAAAAAGTCTAAATGACAAGTTGCACGTGATATTTTCTTGAGGAATCCGCGTTGTGACTGATTGACGAGCTTTTGTTTTAGAAAGTAGTCTGACATTTGTTCTTTGATTACTTTCTCCATGATCCTTGATATTGTTGTGTTGCTATATTTTGATTAAACTAGCG